CCAGCCGGACTTGAACCGTTGACCTTGACTGTGGAGGGTATGGGAGCTTAACCGCTAAGCTATGGGACCCACACCCAATAAATTAAATATTATACTTCTCTTTTTTATATTATTACCTAAAATCAAATTTAGATAGGCCTTGGCCATTTTTGTAAATTTAGATCACAGATTATATGTCTAAGTCTTTATTTTTTATATGTAATTTAAAAGCTAGCTTTTCTTTAATAAATTAAAAACATGATCTTACTATTAATATTTAAAAATAATAATAATAATAATAATAATAATAATATAAATTATTGTTAATTATATTAAAAAAAATTTATTAATCTTCTTTTTTGATTATAAAATATTATTTATTGTTATTTATAAATAATAATTTAAATTATTATTTTAAATATAAATTATTATCTCTAAAGTTAATAATATAGTAGTTATGATATAAAATGCCAGAATAATAATAGTTAGCCCAATATACAAAGCAGGCTATAGTATTTTGCACAGCTGTAAGAGCTGAGCATATGGTAATCAACACTGTAGAAAACAACTTTGCAAGATCATTTTCAATATTTTTAGTCTGCTATAATCTTCATACATGTTTTACTAAATTTTTTTTTTACTATAATTTATTATATTTTCCTTATAGACAAACTATTCAAACTCTAATTCAACATATTGACAAATATAACAATAACAAAACTGTATCTAGTATTATATTTTCTGTTAGCACATCCTATTATAAAACTTATATTTATCTTTCTAATAACTCTCTTTTATTCAATTATATTACTATTTTTTCTTATCTTCTTTTTTTATTTTATAATCTTCTTTTTAGATCCAACTCTTTTAGCTCTACTTTTATTTTATCTAACATTTTTCTTAGCAATCATTTCTTAACTTCTGTTGACTATAACTCTTCTTTATACTCTTCTAACTTAAGTTCTTATTATTTTAATCTAACTATTATTACACATAATTTAGAGGCTTTAATGAACTAATAAAAAGAGAAGCCTAACAAGATTATTGTCTTGATAATGATATATTTATTGCAGCACTACTAAAATAAAAATTTCCGATAAAACTAATCTTTTCTTTTGCAACAATAATCTTTTTACTTACTACTGATCTAACTCTTCTACTTTTATAGAAGAAATAGCAATTAATTTATAATCATCTTAAACCATATATTCATAATGTTATACTCATTCAGAAGGTGCTATAGCACTTGACATCTTTTTGTAAAGCAATGTTAAACTCTGTATTATTTTAGTATATCTTTTATCTACTAATATAGCTATATACGACTAAACCCAAAATACAGTAATTAACTAAATTCAACAAACCTCTCAACTTCATTTTCATTCTATTATCTTTGGTGATTTTAATATACAGAATTATACTTACAGTTTTTCTTCTAAATATAAACTTATTATTTTTTTTAATTATTTAACATGTATAACACTGAAGCTAATTTTAATAACAAATACTTTATCTGATCTAACAATACTAGCAGTAACTATATTGATTACATCTGAACTAATTAATTTATTATACAAATTTTTTTTTTCTACAGTTTTAACAATAGCCAAACCTTTATTTCAAGTAACTATAATTTCTATCTTCATTTGAACATTTCTACATGCCTATAGTAAACCTTTACAAAAATATACTAAAATTAGTTATTGTATATTTAATTATAAAATAATAACTACAGAGGGTTAAAACTCTTTTGCTGATAATTTAATTCAACAACTCTCATTATACAAAACTTCTATTAATAGTACTATTGATAAAAGTATTAAAACTACTTGGCATAAAATTTAATACTCTATAATCTATACTACTACTTATACAATCTCTAATAAAATCTCTCACAAATGAAATTATAATTATTAATATTTACCTTATAGTATTCTATTATATTTCTCTTTTAAAAAACTTGAACATTTTATTAAACTTATTAAAAAACTTATTTAATCTTCTAATATCTTAATATTAATCAAAACATCTTTCATATTAACCAAACAATTACAATGTGATCTTCAATTACTTATATTCACCAATCTCTTCTGTATTCAAATATAGGTTTAATATGCTTACTCTATTTGGAAACAACTCTATTATGCTTATTACCTTGAAAACTCTTTTTTATTTTGATAATAAATTAATCAAGTTACTAACAAAAGATGTGTTACTCTTAATAGTATTTTTAATTACTATTACCAATCTGTCGTCTCAATATAAAACTACTAAACCAACTTATTACTGATTCATTACTTAATAAACAATATATTCAATTTTATTTTTATAATTAAATTACACTTAGGCCTATTAGTGAAACTCTTTAATAATTTTTAGAAATAACAATATCTTCTGCTTTTACATATTAATTCAACTTGGTATCACTCTCTTAACTCTTCTATTACTAATGACAAACTTCTTCAAACTTTTTTACAACTACCTAATAACAAAGCATGCAGTTCTACAAGCTTTAATTATGAAATGCTTAAACATATTAGTTTTTAATACACTTCTACTATTACTGCTCTCTTTAATCACTGCCTTCTTAAAAACAGAATTTCTAAACAATAAAAATATAGCAAAATTTATTCTATCTCTAAACAAAACATTTTTGATGATGACCTTAATATTATATAACCTATCAGTCTAATTTAACACTTTTATATATGAGCAGATTTTGGAAATTTGGTGATGTTTTTGAATAAGATCTACCAATTAAATAAACAAAAATTGTGATTATTGCAAATTTGTCTTACACTAAATTCATATTTATTGGCTGTTTTATTTAGAAAATTAGTCACAATAGTAAAAGTGCTGTTTCGTTTTACAAAGTCCCAGAGTTTGTTTTTTAATATTGTGACTTGAAAAACTTATATTTATGTTTAGCAAAACTCAAAATTCAAAGATCCCAAAATAGGCATAACTTTTATTAATAACAATACCAAAGAGTTTAACATGTAAAAATATGGAACCATGTACAGTATGTGGCAAGGACAACCTTGGAGAAAAGTTAGCAAATAGATGCCAAAGCTTTTGTCTAAGGCTATACAAAGTGAAGCTGCTTCAAACTTAAAGATACAACTTAAATTAGATGATCAGCTATGTCATAAACATTATAGTAAGTTAGTAGCTTTTGATAAAAATTATTTAAGCCTATATAAAAGACAAAAATCTAGTATTGGTAATTGTTACCAAGGTAACATAAACACTTATAATAATGAAATGAAGTTATTTAAATGTTACTTAAAATCTTTTTAACATAGAAATTCCAATAGAAAATTAAGTATTAGGAAGTACTATCAAAATGGCATAAGCCTTTCTAAAGATGAAAAAAAAGTATTTGAATAGTATATGAAATTTGCTAGTAATAGAAATTTAGATAGACAATTATATGTTGGAAATTTTTATCTAAATGGCATAAGCATATCTAAAGATGAGAAGAAAACATTTGAATAATATCTGAAATCACTAGTGGCATAAATTTAGATAGGCAATTAAATATTGAACATTGTTATCAAAATGGCATAAGCATTCCAAAGATAAAAAAACATTTGAATAGTATATAAAATTTGTTAGTGATAGAAATTTAGATAGGCAATTAAATGTTAGATATTGTTATTGAGATGGTATAGATATTCCTAAAGATGAAAAGAAAGCATTTGAATAGTATTTGAAATCTGTTAATGACAGAAATTTAGATGGGCAATTAAATATTGAAGATTGTTACCAATATGGTATAGACATTCTTAAAGATGAAAAAAAAAGCATGCAAGTAGTATTTAAAATCTGCTAATAGCAGAAATTCAGATGGGCAATTAGGTTTTTACCAAAGTAGCATAGTTCCTAGTAAACAAAATATAAAAGAGTAGTCTTTTTTAAATATACAATTAACAAGAGGGCAAGATAATCATCCTTTTGCTTTCAGTAAAGATTCTGAAAAAGGATTTTCAGAATTATTTACATAACATCAATTGATTATGAAAATGATCAGCCTATTTTTCATATATATAATATTCAATTACTGAATTTTGATCATGAAATTATTAATTTAAACTATTAGTCATTTAATAAAAAATAGAATTTTTCAAATTGGATGCCATTGTTCAGATGTGTGATGTATCTTTGTTGTTCCAAGATGGTTATTACCAATTGGCTGTCATGGAACCTTAGCTTATTCATAAACATCATGTTGCTATATGAAAAATAGAGATAACAGATCTAATTAATAAAGCAGTCAATATTATAACTTTTAATATTGGTAGTAATATAAATAGTCAACCTTGTATTTAAGATAAAGGTGCAGTATTCGATTAATGTGAAATTGAGAATGGTGTTTATAAATCAATTAGATCTATCTTAACTATTTTTCTTCCTATTTAAAAGCAATTCTCTCTATTTATACTTATTCTAGAAGATACTATTAAACTAAAACTTGGAGTTGATGACTGTAATATTGGTTGGAAGCAAAATTATATAATGATGACTGTTTGTCTTCTAAATGAAGATAAAAAGGTTTTAAAACCTAATAATCAATTTTGGTAAGTTTTATAATTTTATCTATATAGGCTAGATGCTTAGAAAAAAGTTCAAATAAGCTTTTTGGCAAATTAATTTTATATTATATATTTTATAATAGTTTAAAATTATCAATTTGGACTCTCTTCTTAGCATCTAGCCTATATAATATTTAATTATCAATATCAATTATCGATATTAATTTAATTATTTCTATTTAAGCTTTTGTTTGTACATTGGATATGAAAAATATAATATGCTGGAATATATTGATCATATATTTGAAAATGAGCTTTTTGACCTTAAAAATAATAGTTTTTTTTAATAGTGATAGAGTTTGTTGGCCTGTAAAATTATATTTCTGCAAAGATTAGAAGTTTATATCCATAATTATGAGTTTAAATGCCCCAAATGCTAATCATTTCTGCCTATATTGTACTTATGATATTGAATTGTGATGGGATATAGATCAGGTTTGAGAAAATACTAAAAATTTTAAATCTAAAAAAATTACTTTTTTTAAAGTATTGTATATGAGTGCATGAGAGTGGAAATCTAAAAACTGATTATAGTAAATCATTAAATCAGTTTTTAGGTTTTCACTCTTAGTACTTATATAACTAATTTTGACAAGATGCATGATTGATTTTACTACTCGAAAAATGAATATAGCAAGCTTCTTTTATATTTAGATAAGAGTTTAGGTTAAGGTTAGCAAAATTAATAATATAGATTGTATAAAAAAATTTTTTATTAAAACTTCAAAAATGGTTTAATAGACTAAGTTTTAAAAATAATTGCAAAGCAATTATTTTTGAATTTTTTTATACTACACCTGATCCTTGAATAGCTAATAGACATCAAAAAATCATGTGATAGCAAAATTGATCCTATGTTGGCACTGTTGAATAAGACATTAATTTTAAAATTAATATTTAATTAGGTAAAAAAAAGCTATCTCTATTTTCTGCAATTTATCAAGAAAATTATATTCCTAATGAATTGCACTTACTTTTACATATATCAGATATTTTAATAAACTGTTTGTTTAATGTTTTAATCAAAAAAAAGAATTTGAAAAACAAATTAAATTAGCAATTGAAGCAAAATTTAAGAAACTTTCAATTTAATTTGAATTTTTTAAATCTATGAGTAACAAATGAAATTGGACCTCATTGATGGGTTCAGATAAAAAAAAATGCTAAAAAACTTTTCTGTATCACAATTTATTTCTGGTACATATAGAGAAGATATTAAATAATTATGGCATGAATTTTATTAATTATATAGTATTTTATAGAAATTACAACTTTCTGATTAAGAAATCTATCAATATAAATTTGATGCAGAAAACTGGATCTGAACCTTTTGCTATCTATCTTAAGATGATATAAATTCTTCACAAAAATGTAGACTCTATCAAAAGTCAGATGTTATATCATATATGCATGTATTTGCAAAATATATACCTCTATTTATGCAGCAATTAAAGTCAAAGAGTCTTTCTTTGTAAATTTTTTCTACCTCAAGCATAGAAAAAAAATCATAAACAGATAAATTTACTTTAAATGAAATAGGCTAGGTGCTAAAAAAGGAACAAAATTGATTATTTTACAAAAATTTTTGATTTTAATTGATTTAAAATTAGTTTAAAATACTTTTTACTTAAGGAATAAGTACTATTTATTTCTCTAATAGAAATAATGAAATATTTCCTCAATAATATACATAGAGTGCCTTGTGCCCTATAAGTGCACTGCTAGGAGAAAATTTTAATTATTTTTCCAATATGGCAGAATAAATAAATTATTCAACATCTCTTATGATAACATAACAGGGACTTGTATTACTAATTGTTTTTATTACAATTTTTTTTGTCTTTTTTTACATTTTAACTTTTTTATAAAAATAACAAAAGCCTGTTATTATTCCAGCTTTATTTGTTATCACCTTCAGAAAAACAATAAATAAGAAAAAAAAAACAAAAAAATTTGTAATAAAAATTGTAATTAATAATATGCAAATCCCTATTATGTAATCATAGTAAAACAGAAAATAAATGCTATTATTTTAATAAAATTTTGCAGGATAATTCTTTAAGAGATTGGACCTGAGTAGAAATTGGTATTATATGATTACCTAAAATATATAATAACTTATTGAATAACTTGAGTAATTTAACAATACTTTAGTAAAGATTTTTTTAATAGGTTTAATCTCTAAATTCTTTAAAGTTTTTATTTTTTTATATTATTATAAAACCTTTTTCTTAGTACCAAGTTCAAATTATCTTTAATATAAATATTTTAATAAGTTTACTATTAGGTTTGGTTATTTTTTGAAGGCACTACTATGAGATATGGATGCAAAAAAAAGTTTGTTATTTATAATATAATGTCTTATAAAAATTGACAGCTTTTTTATTTAATGAACAATACCTCTACAGATATTACTATTCAAAATATTCATATTAACAATAAGGAATATTTATTAAATTAAAGTAAATAGTTTTTTTGTTATAAGATTTTATTTGTTATGTAATAGAAGAAATTATATGTAATCCAAACTTTGAGGGATTATATTTGTAGCATTGATAGTTAACTGACCTATTATTGTAAAATAATTTTTTATATGATAAGATTAAGTTTGGATCAGGTATATTTCTTCTGGTTCTGATATGTAATTCAAAATGTGATTTTTGTTATGTACTAGTCACATAATTATTATATAATTTATACATTATTATGATTAAATATTTATTAATTTACAATATTTTAATTATTTAGCATTCAAAGGATATTTTAATTCATTAAGAAAAACCAAAGGTTACTGATTTTGGACTATCAAAATAAATAAATAAACTACTTATAACTTCAAACTTAATAACTCATAGAATACTGGTATATATTAAGCTTTTTTAATTCTTATAAATATAATCAGTATCTAAAATTGGGTTGTGAAGTCTGCAGTCTACAACAAAATTTTAAATTTTGCAACCAAAATCTGAAGTATGTATATAGATTCTGCATATAAATTTGCAAAATTTACCTATAAATTTTGATTAAATGTTTATTTGCACAACTAAATTTTTTTGAATTTTTATAATCTACAAATAGTTTTTTTTTTTGGTTGCATCCTATAACTAATTTAAAATTTGAATTTCAAATACTGGATGTAATATGAAATTTAACTTCTACAGTTTGAGTAATTTTTTAGGTGATTTCAAACAGAAGACTACTATTTCAAAGCTTCAAATTAAAAATATTCTTTGCCCTCATATATGCCATATATCAAGAAAATAAAGAAGCAGCAATAGAAGGTACACATTCTCAATAATCTAAATTTAACAGTAATGTAATAATGGACCTACTAATCATCCAAACCTAGTCAACATTATTTTACTAGATGTCAGTTCAAGGTATGGTTATTCTCAAGTCACTGGAACAATACAAAGATATATGTATCTAATGTAATAAATTCAATTCTTATAAAGAAGTTCTTGAGAACAATCAACATAGTGTTGAAGATCAAAAAATTGCTTTAATCTAAAATCTTTATTATGAGTATAGACAAGATTACTTTGCATAAATATTATGCTAAATTTGAAACTTAGTAATAATAATCTTGATAACATTAGCAAATAAGCTTTTCAGAAGTACTATGCTAATTTTTTTTAATCTTTGTTATAATTGACTTGGATTAGAATAAGAAAAGCATCTGTTGCTTTGCAAGAATGTTACTCTAAATATTTAAAAGTATTAGCAGATCATTTTGTAAGAATACTATACTGATTTTTTTGAATCTTAATAGTAATATCTTGAATTAGAATAAGAAAAAAGCATTAATCAATATATTTTATTAAAATATCATATTAATTTTCGAATCTTCTTGATTAGGAGAAAAAATCATTAGTAAATGCATTATGCAGAAATGCTGCCCAGATTTTTTATGTAATAATGTTTTAAAATCATACCTTATATTAAAAGGGTCCATTTTAATGAATTTTTAAAAATTTTTTTATTTGGATTTTAAATAAATATGTATTTAATAAAAAAGTTTACTATAAGTAACAGAAGCTAATTATATAAATATTTGAAATCATTATTAGTTGCACTATATTTTAATATTAATTTCTTGAATAAATTTAGATCTTTAGTAAGTGACGGATTATATTTAGTTATAATAATATATTTGGGTCTCATCATTATTCAGGCAATTTATAGATAAGAGGATATTCAATTAAGATATTATTATAAGTATTTGAATAAAGATGACTTATTAGCATAAATAAAATCATTTAATGTTATTAGAACTCCTACTAAAACAAAGTTTTGAAATATATAAATTTTTTGCATTTATTCTTTTCAATCTTTGTAACAATTCTATATTCTATTAACTTTTTTATAGTAGTGAATTATAGGTAATAAATGCTTTAAATTCTATTAAAATCACTTAATCATATTAGCAAACTTCTGAATTAAGAAAATGCTTAGTTAAATGTTCAGGTAATATTTTTTTTATTTGATATTCTATAATTCTATACAAAAAAAAAAAAAAAATCTGTCACATGCTTTAACAAATTTCTTCACTATTACAATTTACCACTTCTTCCTCATGGTTAAACTATTCAAACTCTAATTCAACATATTGACAAATATAACAATAACAAAACTGTACCTAGTATTACATTTTCTGTT